TATAAGCCTGGCGGCCAGCCAGGGCTTCCCTTTCCTCGGCCCCCCCACCAGGTCAAGCGTCACTTTGTTTTTGTATGGATTTTTTATTCTTATTATTATTGTCCCCAATTTCTAGGTGGGCGTAAGAATCAGGAAATGTCAGGAAAAATCTAACCAGGCAGTCTGATAGAAAATCCCAACCGCTACTCATAAAGAAATCCATACCCTAAAATACCTAGGTGGCACTACTGCAGAGGTCAATGCATTTACGCTGATAACCCCCAAACCATAGGCCTAACATGCAAAAACTTTATTGTCCCGTGATCCTTGGATGATTCAAAAGCGTTTACCGTACATTGCCCACGCTCACTTACACTTTTTGCTATATTGCAGTGAAAACTGAAAATAAAAATGCTTTTTTTGATTCAGCTTATGCTAGCAGAAGAAGAACAAAAAATGTTTTAACAAAAAAAAAACAGAAAACATTGAACCCTACAGCAAACACAGTAATAATATTCTTTAAAGACATAACTGAACATTTTCTTAGAGTGTAATACGAGTTCTAAATGTATATTTTTGACTTAGAAAAAGACTTGACTCGGATCACATGACTGACACGGACTGACACGTAAACGCGGAGCATTCTAACTAAACAGCACCAGCTACACGGCTTCAATCAAGCAGCTGGTGGTCTCTATTTTTAGTTCTGATACCTTTGTAGTCCTCGTAGGGAGAAAAACAGCGTTCTTTCCTTTCCTTCTATTCTCATTTATCTGGCATCAATTAACTGGGGCTGCCTGACACGGGTGAGCCTTGCTCCTCAATCCTCACTTGATTTAGAGAGGACTGAATCCACCTGAGCTTTGCTCGAGAAACCGAGAAACCCGGTGCAGTGGAACCCTGAAATGCAAATGAACACGCCCCGAAAATTCAAAACCATGAAGCCAAATACAAAGTTTAGGGCAGAACATGAACCAAGTGATTTTTATTAAGGTGGGCGCACCACCTCACCCCTGCCACATGGACCTCAAGGGATAAACCATCAATCCTGCTCAATGGTCAACTTTCCTCACAGGGTCACCCATAAAGACAGTGAGAGGGTTAATGTTACCCTCTGATCTCTATCAAGGTAGCGCGACTCCGGGTTGTGAATGACCACAGTCACCGTGTCTTGTCAAGTGTCTTGCCCATGTATGTCTGATCTCTGAATTGTGTGTACTGAAACTCTAACTTCCCTCTGGGATTAATAACGTATCTTTGAATTTGAATTGAAGATGCACTGACTGTGGTTGTAAGGGCTGGTGCAGACTTCTAACCTCGTAACACCAATTCTGATTCATCTCAGGCATTCAACCACCAGAATACAATATGTCCAGAAGGAAGATCTGTTACTGCTAGGGAGAAATAGCGAATAGTGATAATGAGTTCATGGACTGAGGAAATGTCAAGGATTTCCTGCTGCTGCTTGGCAGGAGAAAAACTCTTTTCACAGGAAAACGTGGTTAAATCATGAAACTTGTAGGGTTAGGCAGGCCGGACAGGAGGTGACAGAGCCCACAAACCATAATACCTTGGACCTTGGAGCGTGTGAGACTCCCAGATGGAAATGGGCCTGCTCTTCGGATGGCACTCCTCAATACCAGGTCTCTTACAAATAAATCCTTTGTACTGAAGGATTTCTTTGAAGCACGAGCGTTTTTACTTCTTACGGAAACTTGGATTCGGGATGGTGAGTCAGTGGTCTTCTCTGAACTTCTCCCAGCTGACTGTGCGTTTCATAGCTCCCCTCGTCTGTCGGGCAAAGGGGGAGGCTTGGCATCTGTTTGCAAATCTAAATTTCGATGCCGAAACATCCCTTCAAATGCTTATCCGAGCTTTGAGTCTCAACTATATGAAATCCAGTCTGATGTTGTTATACTCTGTGCAGTGATCTATCGGCCACCTAAGATGGATAAGAACTTTATTGCTGATTTTTCTGATTTTATGGAAGGTCTCGTTCTTAATGCTTAATGGGCGGCATGGTGGCGCAGTGGTTAGCACTGTTGCCTCGCAGCACGAAGGTTGCAGGTTCGAAACTCGGCTGCGGCCTTTCTGCGTGGAGTTGCATGTTCTCCCCATGCATGCGTGGGTTTTCTCCGGGTACTCCGGTTTCCCCCACAGATCACAACATGCCCTATAGGTTAAAAGAATTGTAAGTCGCTTTGGGTAAAAGCGTCAGCTAAGCACATAAACATAACGCTGGAAAGCTTTTAATTGTTGGTGATTTTTACATTCACGTCTGCTGTGCAACTAAACCTCTGGTTAAGGAGTTTTTGCAACTACTTACCTCTTTTAACCTTATTCAGTCTGTGTCAGGCCCTGCACATGAAAAGGGCCACACACTGGATTTAGTATTATCTCTTGGGCTTGATGTTAAAGTGACTGAAATTAGTGACTCCCGGTTTTCAGACCACTTTCCTGTATTACTCAATGTATGCGTGGATATCTCTGATCCGGGCTCCGTCACAGCGTTGCCGACGCCTTTTGAGCTCACAAACTGCCTCTCGTTTTATTGCTGCTTTTAACGAAGCAGTTTTTTTAGCGCAGATGGACTGTGGCGACTTATCAGCTGATGAGCTCTTGGATCGTTTTAATTCTACATGCACTGACGTTTTAAGACTGTATTGCCCCCTTTGGAACTCGGTGCTGTGCGCGTGCTCCAGAACCATGGATGAATGACCCTATTCGTTCTCTCAGACGCGCCTGCAGAAGAGCTGAGAGAAAATGGGAAAAGGACGGCCTTCATGTCTCGCTGGATATCCTTAGGGATGCTCGTGCTGAATACCAGTGTGCACTAAAGCAGGCAAAGACACAGTACTTTTCTATGCTTATTGTAAATAACTCCCATAGGCCTCAGGTCTTATTTGGTGTATTGAGTCGTCTTATCTCCCCTGGTGTGTCTTCTTGCCTTAAGTTTTCTGATCTGTTCTGTGAAAAGTTGAAGAATTTCTTCACAGATAAGATGACCTCTCTTAGATTATCTTCCCCTTTCTTTGCGGACGATGTGCAGATATATGTCCCACTACATTCTCGAAGGCCATTGTTTGACAAATTACTGAATTGTCTAAAAGATGTTTGAAAACTGGCTACAATTGAACCTTCTGACTTTAAATGACAAAAAGACAGAAATTGTCATTTTTGGGGATCCTGGGCTGTTGCACGGGGTAAACAGTGTTTTTGGCCCTTCAGAATCCTTTTGCATGTCTCAGACAAGAAATCTGGGTTTTTTCATTGATGGCCATTTTAAACTTGATAAACAGATAAGTTCTGTTGTCCAGAGTGTGTTCTTTCATTCGCGTGTTCTTAGAAAAGTCAAGCCCTATTTACCACTCAAAGACATTGAAAAGGTTATACACTCGCTAATCATGTCAAGATTAGACTGCAGCAGCTCTCTATATCATGGACTGGAGCTTCACCGCTTGCAGGTGAAACAGAATGCGGCAGCTCGCTTGCTGACAGGTAGGAGATGCAGGGATCACATAACTCCGGTCTTACAAGCTCTACACTGGCTCCCGGTCACTTACAGGATTCAATTAAAAATGCTACTGATCTGTTTTAAGGCACTACACAATTTGGCCCCTGCTTATCTGCCGGAACTTTTAAACACTCATGTCCCCAAACGAAACCTCCGACCATCCTCTCTACATCTACTATCTGTTCCCAAGCCTAGGCTGAAGTCCAGAGGCGACAGAGCTTTTTCTGTGGCCGCTCCCAAGCTCTGGAACACCCTTCCCCTACAGATTAGTTCTGCTAACAGCCTTTCTGTTTTTAAGTCTCTGCTTTTAAAAACCTACCTTTTTACCCCTGCTTTTAACTGATTTTATCGTTAATTAATTTTAGGGTCTACTGGATGGTTCTCAGTGTTTTATCATTTTATTTTTACTGCTTGTCTGTGTACAGCACTTTGTGCAGTCTCTGATTGTTGGAAATGTGCTATATAAATAAACTTGACATTGACATAATAAAAAGAAAGAAAGAAAATTATCTTTCATTTAATGCCTCTCAAGATAAAACTTACGAAGCGCTTCACAAAAAAATAATAAAATAAATTAAAAAAACAAACAAAAACAATATATATATATATATATATATATATATATTATGGGGCAGCAGTAGCTCAGGTGGTGGAGCGGGTTGCCTCATGATCGGAGGGTCATGGGTTCGATTCGAGCTCCCGCCAGGGGTATCCTGCTGTTGTGTCCTTGGGCAAGACACTTCACCCAACTTGCCTGTGTTAGTGGTGGTCAGAGGGGCCGACGGCGCCAAATGGCAGCCTCGCCTCTGTCAGACCTCCCCAGGGCGGCTGTGGCTACAAGTAGCTTACCATCACTAGCAGTGTGTGAATGTGAGAGTGTGTGAATGTGAAAGCGTCTTTGGGTGTCTAGAAAGGCGTTATATAAGTTCAATGCATTATTATTATTATATATATATATATATATATATATATATAATAAATGTCAAATAAATGATAAAAATATGTTTAACCCTTTGATGCATAATGGTCACTACAGTAGACAAGTACTCAAAATTGTTGAAGACTTTATTGCATTTGAGCCCCTCTATTTGGACTTCAGTAAGTCAAGCCAACATGTCTCATGTTCAGAATGCACGCTGCCCACTGAGGTGGACATGCAATTAATTATTTGTAAATTCAATGTTACAAAAAATATTTGTTGAAATTTTTTCTTTCACACCTAAAGATGAATGAAAAAAATTGTTAAAAAAAATCATGGTTAAAGATTTCATAATTCATGCATCAACGGGTTAAAATGAGAAGAAATAAAGATAGTGATTAAAAAACACAAGGAAAGGGAGAGAAAACATGAACAGGAAAGATGGAAACCAGTGGATCCCGGGAAAGGTGGAACAAGAGCAGAATAAGGAAAGGGTGGTGATGAAGGTCATGCAAAAGCCAGATTGAACACGTGAGTTTACAGCTGCTTTTTGAAGGAGACCACTGAGTCTGCAATGTCTGCAGTTACCTAGTAGTTCTTCTGGGTCCTTGACCACAATATGGGCATTAAGTTCTTGTAGCTCCTGGTGAAGTTCCTCGACCTTTTTGTTAGACTTCTTTAGCATGTTGTCAACATAAGCCAGGCTCTTCTTGTCTGTGGTGACCTGAGGAGAGCAGACACCACTGGAGTCCAGGCAACAACAAAGATCTAAACCAAAGCTTTAACTGCGTTGTGTTTATATAAATTAAAGTTTCTTAGCTATTATAAAATAACTCAGCCAGTAAAGAGATGTTTCCGGTGGGAATCTGGAGGAGTGCCATGTATTTTGATGCAGAATATTTCACCAGCACCCAAAAGATGTTAGACACTGTCCTGAAATAAAGTGCTCCAGTGCATGAGAAGCATTATGGGGCGGAGGGGGTGGGGGGTGTATCTCTGGTGCTACCTTTCGCAGGTTCTCTGCTCCTTCTTTGATCTTCAGCTCCTTGCGGATCTCACGGCGTATCTGCTCCTTAATCTCATCCAACTTCTGCTGAACCATGGTATCCGACAGGTCCAGATTTTGGCCCAGTCCAAGACGCTCTGCCACCAGCTGGCCCCTGGCATCCCCCTGGAGGAAACCACAGGACAAGAATGGAGACATTACAGATAAAGGACATTGTTGGAAAGTTTGGTCTAGGAACGCTCCATTGGAACCTCAGCAGCAATCCGGCTGGCCAATCACAGCTCTCTATAGGGGTTTCAAACCGATGGAGCACTGTGATTGGTCCACAATGGTGGGACAATAAAAATGCTCTAGCAGCTGTTTGGGCCAATCAAGGCGCTCTACTGGTCTGGTTGGTGGGATGTGGAATGAGATGGCAACAGCTTGTTTGAAACGGCTTTTACATCCGGTTCAGACTTTCTGGACTTGGGCTTTATTGGAATTGGGAGCAAATAGATGCATTTAAGACCTTAATTTAGAGAAAGGATGTATTTTCGCCTTCTTCAACAGCAACCTGCCTCGTTAACTGACATTCACTGCAGTGAGAACGTCACATTGTTCCTTGTCCAGTAGCATGGGGAGACAACGGTAGCACAGTCAATGGACTGTTGCCAGACTAAATAATATATTTATCTAGTCTGAATTGCCAGGCTACTAAACAATTATTTATTACTAAAGATATTTATTAAAATGATCAATAAGATGTGATTATTCCATACAAATATGAAATATCGATCTGAGTGATCTTTGAATGTTTAATCAGAAGATTCTAGTTTTTTTTACTTATTCAGGGACCGTAAACACACTGTAATAATTCAGACAGAGTCAGGTATATAATTTATAAAAATGAATTTATTTCTTTTCCCCAAACTAATGATTACACATGACAAGATATGAATAATGATATGTAATGGATATGAAGTGATTTAATGTGATATGTTGTAATGGAAGCTAGATGTTTTAGCAGAACTTTTCTTAAATATCTGAGAGAATTTGTGAAGTCTGGGTTGTAAAAGAATTTGGCTGTATGTTTGTTAAGCTAGAGATTTATTTATAAAAACCATCTGACGCAAACTGTGTTGAATCTACGCACCCTTAAAGGGGCATTATGGAAGTGTGACAGCCAAAACACGTATAGAAATAATAAATGTCTTCTTCATACGTTCTCCTGCAATGCCCTGGTCCTGTAGAATGAGCCCTGGCATTTTTACTGTGATTGCCTGTTTTTCTATAAAATCACAGAAAAAGAGAGATGCTCGGGTCGAGCAGGCTGCTTCATGCGCGTTCACGCTCAGGCATCGCCCGTAGCATTTGCTATCCGTAGCTTTAGCAGCAGAGAGAGAGGCAGTGCCACTTTGTCGCTGTTCCTAACGCCTAGTGACAAAGCTAGCTACATTTCTGAGGACCCTTAGCTACTTTCTGTAGAACTTTCTTCTAGATATTTCCTGCTAATTAACAACAAAATAGTCATTTTCACTCCGAACCGTTCTTTGGTTTGACGTTGTTTCAGCTGTCATCAAGGACATAAATGTTACAGATACTACGAATGCTACTAGAGTGTAGCTCACCTTGTAAGATGTCTGACTCCCATGCAGAAGACCTGGGTTCGACTCCAAGTATGAACATAATTTGTTATTTGGAGTTTCTTTTTTACATTAATGGTATATTTTTTTTACAGTAAGACGCCCAAATTTTTATTTGAGACTCGCCGAACGGCATTGAATTCACAGATAAAAAAGATGTGGGTTCAACTTTCATTTTGGAACAATTTTTCAAGCAAGGGAAGGGAATGATCTGAGCATGCAGGAGGACTGACCCATCATAAACCTTTGTCGGCTGTGCTGAAGAGAAAGCTACAGAACCACATTATTTAATTAATTAGCTCCGTGTTCTCCTGTCCTCTGGGCCACACACACACACACACACACACACACACACACACACACACACACACACACACACACACACACACACACACACACACACAGGACTGTCTCAGCTGTTATTTTCGTTAAGGAGTGTGCACGTACAGCATGCGCGCCTCGTGCACGAGCCTACTATTGAAGCTGTCGTTACACTTTTGGCCTGAGGGGGCGATCACGAGCATAAAAATTCAAAAGTCTGTAAAGTCCCTTTAATGAGGAGATTCTCGTGCGATCCAGGGGGTAAAGAGGTTGTGATGGACACTGTCGGTGGAGTGGACCTCTCGGTATCAGGAACCCGTAGATTAGCTCTGATAGGACCCGTCTAGTCTGAGAGCTCACCAGGTGACGACAGGAAGCTGGAATGCTTGTTTGCACCTAAGTCTGTTTATTTGGGTCTTAGAAGAGCCGTTTTGTCTGATTTCAGCCGCAGCCTTTCAGAGAGGCTTTTGACTGGAGGTCAGAAGAGATGGTTTCAAAATTCCTTCTTCCCCGATATATATATATATACAGGTCCTTCTAAAAAAATTTGCATATTGTGATTAGGTCCCGACCGATATGGGGGTCATTAACATTACAGGCTATCTGGCAAAAAGACGGCCGATATGGCCGATATTGCGCTAACTATCCAGCAGATGGCGCCAGCTTTATGAACTCATGTTGTGTGGCTCCACTCCTCGGGGGGTGGAGCCCCCGTCACAGCACACATGCAGGGAGCAGCAGAAGCAATTCAGTCAGTCTTCAGTTTTAAGCATATTTGTTGTGTCAGTGGTAAGTTGAACGGTAAAATAAGCAATGACAAAAGTATGTTTCCCTCAACATGCTTCCCAAGTTTATTTTGTGCCTTGTGGCCTCGTATTGAAAAGTTACCCTGAAAACATAAAATAAAACTGCCGCAGCATTACGCTCCATGCAGAGCTCACGCTGCTTCCCCTTTTTCTGCTGGCCTTTTTCTGGTAGACATTCTGGAATATTCTCAGACAATTTCCTCCGCTCTTCAGCAGCCTTTTCAAACTCACGCGGTTCACCCGCGGCTCGCGAAAAAAAATAGTGCAGACGCCGAAACGATTGCTGCACGGCGGCGCGCAGCGCTTCGGCGGCCCATGTGGCCTATAGAATAGGATAACAGGGGCGACGAATGAAGGCGGTCCCCGTTTCGCGGCGCTTCGGCGGCACACGACCGTTGTCGCAGCTGAAGACGGGCGAGGGGGGGTTGGCAACAAAGCAATGAAACGCTGTGCAGGGAGTCCCCCCTCCTTTCCCTAGCTGGGAGAGGAGTAGGGGCGGTAATACGAGAAAATAAACATCCCTCTCTACAATAGAATAAATCTATTGTATTTTTCAGCCTTATATTTTACATAAGGCTTATACATTGCCACATACTAGTCATTTAACATATCTTATTTTTATTTTCCTAATACTGTCGGCTTTGGAAAGGATCAAAACACAAAAGTGTAAAACTCAAAAGTATTTTAATGCCAAAAATCAGAAATAAAAACAGGTAGCTAGGACGCTGAAACCAGCAGAGTATGACTGAAACTGAACCGTATGCCCTGAGGAGTGAGAGATGACAGAGGACTAGTTATGAGGAGGAGCTGTGAGTGGGAGCAGAGGACAGCAGGGGAACATGGGAGGAACTATTAATGAAAATATTTTTAAAGAAGAAAGAATCCTAAAAGGGAAAGAAGAATAACTAGAAAAAAACCTGACAACAAACGGAGTAGAAAACTCAGTGGAAGGAAAATAAAAGACATGAATACTAAATGAGAAAACCTGAACAGCTGGGGAACCAAACAAAAACAGAGCCATCGGTTCTGAGCCAAAATGTCTGATATCATTTATTTACATGATAATTTTTAAACTTTTAAGTATAAAAATGCCACATTTAATGTATTTTACTTTGTCTTAGTATCAACAGATATATAACTGTACTTTTATGCTGATTACTTTATTACAGATGGAAAAAGAGGGTCGTAGTAAGGTGTGGGCCTACTTCACTAAAGAGCCATCCGGTGATGTCATCTGCAGCATCTGCTCATCTTCAGTAGTAGTTTGTGTGTTCTGTTGTTTTTGAGATTGCTAAATAAATCTTATTTGCATTACTTGGAAACCCTAGTGAGTTCTTGAGACCGTTCTTTGGTGTGTAATATAGAAATAAGTTAGCATCAAAAAGGCAGAGAATGAAGGGTTTAATCTTAAGAACATTTGTATTTCTTTTTTTGTGAGGGAGATTTATCGGCCATTATATCGGCTATCGGCCTTTGTTAAAAGTTTTATATCGGTATCGGTATTGGTCCCAAAAAAAGCATATCAGTCGGGCCCTAGTTTTTAGTGGTCGACGGTTACGATACTAGCTGACTTCCAGAGAAACACTCCCCCTCACTCACCAATAAACATCCAGGGAGCAGACACTGAGGTGGTGGACACCTTTAAGTACCTGGGTGTTCACCTCAACAGTAAACTGAACTGGTCCAACAACACAGATGATCTGTTTAAGGACAGCCAAAGCCACCTCCACCTCCTGAGGAGGCTGAGGTCCTTCTGAGGTAATTCCCAGCTGCTAAAATCCTTTTATCACGCAGTTGTTGGCTCTTTTATCCCCTCTGCTGTGGTCTGTAGGGGTGCAGGCAGCTCGGACCGAGACAGGAAGAGACTGAACAAGCTAGTTCACAAAGCTAGCTCGGTTCTGAGCTGCTCACTGGATTCAGTTGAGATGTGTGAAAGGAGGACGCTAGGGAAGATGACCTCCATCTTAAAAACCCTTCCCACCCACTGTGGAGACCATGGACAGCTCCTTCAGAGGCAGACTGACATCCCAGATGTAAAACAGAACGCTACCGTAGATCTTTCATCCCCTCTGCTTTGTTTATCTACCCAGCTGAAGCAGCTTTTAATTTTTATGTCTTTAAGTTTTTATAATTATTTTCTGCAAAGTATTTGTTTCACCATTGGCTTTCCATACTGGATTGGGTGGCCATTACATTTAGTTGCCCTTTTTGGTGTCAAAATGCGCCTTGTGAACGCACATGTTGGGGGACATGACACAAGTTTAGAATGCACACGTCTTTATATCCCGTTGGCTCGCCACAGTGGCGATCCTACACCGAGCCAGTGTCACAAACGCAAAACTCAACCCACAGAGATGAACACAGAGTGTTTGTTCGCAAATCGGAGATACACGTGTCCACAGCACAGTGCCACACA